CCCCCCCACTCGCCCCCTCCCCTCCAAAGGTGACAGAGTGCGGGTGGAACCACATTAATGCAAAAGACACCAGCTTTCCGGAGAGTATTTCAACAATACAAACACTCTTTACAGGGGAAACTAAACTGAAGAGAATCGGATTTCTTCAGGGTGTTGTAGCGCAATCAATTGAATAGTCAGCACTTATTGAACAATAGACTCAGACAGAGACTTCATGGAAAACAAACAAGCAGCAGTGCAAAATAAGCGCAAAATAAAAGTGAGTCAGAGATTGCCGACTCTGTCCTCGCGTCTGCTCCCCGCTTTCCCGATCTTTCTAGCCGATAATCTGACGGCTGGCCCGATACCAGCTGGCATGGCGCCTGCCTGTCTTCTAGACACGGTCTGCGCGAGACAGGCGGGAAGGGTGGCTGGGCGCGAGTGTGAGAGAGATGCAAGTGATAGAGGTTCCTAAACCCTTCTCATTCTCTTTCTCTCTGCTCCCTCCCAAGATGCGATAATCAGCTCTCTCTCTCTTTCTTTCTCTCTCACACTCTCGTAAATCAGTGCCTGCTGTGGCTGGCTGCGTCTTTTAAGTTGAAGACGTTATCGCCTCTGCAATTCAGCGAAAGCCTGCACCCGCCCCGCGCCACCACACCGCGCCCCGCCCCCGCCGCGACTGTATGGCGGGACGGTGGTAAACCCCACCCCCCACCCCGCCACGGAAAGATGACCAACAGCTCCAAGGCTGACTATCCAGATCAAGTCAGATCAGATCAGCGTCCCGTGTGGCCAAAGAGCTCTTCTCCGGGGTCAAGAGCAGTGGAGTTCGGAGAGGTACTCGCCCCTCGTTGGGGCCAATTGAGTGAGTCGGGTACCCGACCTCTGCCAACCAGGGGCGGTCGTTGTCCTGTACCGCGCACCGCTCTGTTGTTTCGTGCGGCCGGGGGCGTGCGTAGGCGTGCGGCAGGGCGCGCCGCTCTCGCCTCCGGTCACCCTGCCCCAATGGCGCCGCGCGTCGCGCCTCCCCCATGCAGGCCACACACATCCAGCATCTCCTCTACTCACCCGGCGATGACGACGCCGCCGCCGCCATGCTGACCGCTCGCTTGCGCTGAGGTTGGAGGTGGTGGCCAAGAGCCTCGCGACGCTTCATGCACGCGACATAGTGGCGGCGCGTGGGCAGCAGCCCGCCGTGCGAGTCATCGACACACAAACACAAGCTCTTGTTTTTCTAGGGGGCAAAGTTGACGACGCCGCAGTTATACAATGCGGAGGGGGGCTTGGCGGCGCAGCTTGGCGGTTATCTCCTGTCACGGAGCAGCATCCTCCAACATTCCATGCAGCAGACCCGGCTTCTCCCTGACGGGCTGCGTCCCCTCCGCGGAGAAGGGTCCTGGAGAAACGCCTGCGAGGAGGCTCCTCCTGAACGAGCTCGCCTTTTGCAGGAGGTGCTCGGTGGGCGCGGGGCGGCGGTCGTGCGCTCCAGGGGCGCGGGACGAGGCCCGAACAACGCGAATGCGGCAGCGGCGGCCGGTCCTGTCCTCCCTTCCTTCCGTGGGCGCGGGGCGCTGGACGGCCTGGACGGGGGCGGCGCGGAGCGGGCCTGCTGCAGCCTGGCCGGCGTGACGGGTCGCGGCAGCGCTACTGGTGAGGCTGCGGGTCCGGCTGCCAGGGGCCCGGGCCCGGCCAGGGGCCGCGCCGAGGTCCGGGGAAGAGAGGGAGGGACAGTGAGAGGGGCAGTTCCACCAGAGAGGGGCAGCACCATGAGAGGGACAGAGAGTGGGGGAGGGCAATTCCAAGGAAGGGAGCGAGAGCTAGAGAGAGAGCACGCGTCGGGGGAGGAGGGGGGGGGGCAGAGGGTCGTGGCCAAACATTTTATCTCGTGAGCGTTGGCCCGGCCCGGCCCGGGCTGATAGTGAAAATCGTCATTGAGCAGCACGGGCACGGGCGGGGCAGCCCAGCGGGTCGAGCGCGATGCAAGCACCCAAACGGAGCCAAATGCAACGAGTTCACCTCGAGAAGGGACAAGCCGCACGTAACAATGTCGTCCGCATACAACCACAAATAGACTGTAACATTCAGAAAGATTCGACTATAAGAGACAGCACTCTAGTTGCAAGGGATTCTACTCACAACATTCTCAAAGGTCCAAAAAAGATTGTTGTTTAAAACTGAATTAAGGAGTGCCTTGCAAAATGTTCTTAAAATTACAAAATTTTTGGAAGCTTGCATTGTAATGATTTGTTTACATTAAGTACTGTGTCAACACAAACTTCAAGACACACTTATTTATCAGTAGAGTGAATTATGTATAATTCAGTAAAAAGTGACAAATGTTTCTACAATTGATCAAATATACAAAGGTATTTGTAAAAATTATTTGTATAGTAGCAGTTCAGATTGTTCTAGCACATCATCTTTTGTTGTGGAGATAGTCATCTGATTCTTAAATAGACCTCATAACAGACTCAAAAGTTTCTGCAATGGAAGCAAGTGCTATTATTCACTTCAAAATCACAAATTTATTCTCAAGTCTATGGTGTAGCAAAAATTAAGTTAATAAAAGCATACCTACACCTTAGAATTAGAACAGGTACATTTTTAAAATGCCTACCAGCGTAGAAAACACATATTTTCTTTTTAAAAAAATAAGTCAATTATCAGAAGATAAAGATTGCAATGGGAAGCTAACAAAAGGCAATGTGTAAAGAGGAAGGAAAAGACAGGCAGATATTGGTACTGAAAGGTAAAGTGAGGTACAAAACATTCGTGTTTACTTTCAAAGTAAATTAACATTCTTGATATAATGAGCAAGAAACTGAGAGCAGTGAAAGTACACTTTAAATAACATTATATTATGTGTTTTTTGAAACATTTTGTTTTGGCTGCTGTACTGCTGAAGACCATCAACTCAAAGTTTCTCAAAACTTTTTTACTCGTTCTTTACCACCACCTGCACCTACTCAGTGGTAGAAGAACGAGTATTGATCTCAGTGCGATGTCACGCGTAACGCTATTCATGCTCGGAGTACAGAATATGTACACTTATGATACTTGTACCATTCGAAACTGGGAATGTTGTAGGCGTGACCAACAATGGACATTTTTTCAAGTTTGACACTACTTTTTTGAGAACTCTTAACAAAATTCGCCGGTTTTCGTTCTAAGTCGATAGACCCGTCCCGCACAACGAATCTTCATCTTGGAGCACGAAGCGCATACAGACATGACAATACTACCATTCGAAACTTCGTTTGCTAGTATTACTGGAAGCAATGAAGATTGTTTTGGTCTAATAGCAAAATTTTGAGAACTCTTAACAGATTTCACAAGTTTTCAGTCTAAGTCCCGTCTGCCGATGTTGCTTCTGCTATTGTGCCGCCAACTGTAGATTCATA